CCCACCCACTCCCTCTACTGACCACCATCCCTGTGACTCCAAGACAAGAAAACTGAGCGTCAGTAACAGTTTTCCGAAATAATGTGACTCATCTCGAAATCCTATGTATTCCTGTTTGTTAATCCACTCATCGTTGAGCGAAAAACGCCACAAACACGCGTCTACAGCTGCCAGCTGCTAGCTTCCCCGGAAAACGTGTTGACGGATGTGAGCGTTTGTTGGGGCTTAAGCCGCTTATGAATCAGCCTTCCTGGTCACAATATCACTTTGGCGCTGGATCTAATTATCTCACAATGCTGCTAGCAACCCGGGTTTGAGTGTGTCATATTATTTGAAAAGCAATTTGCACAAAAAGAAACTTTACATGAAAGACAAACGTCGATCTAATATTGGTAGAAAGAAAAATTTGCGAATTTTTAAAAACATTTTTGGGTAAGTTTTACGGCGCTCGCAACTGCATAAGGTCATATGAGCGCGCGGGACACACCTAATACTTTTAGTTGGTAGGAAATTTTGAATTTTGTCCGGGTGGCGGCCAAAGCCTACTCTTATCGATTTTAGACCACCAAGGGATCGTTAACGTGCGCAACTTGCACATGGGCCCTCCGAGATTTTTCGCCCTTGTCCGAGAAGGCTAGGTGTAGATCTTTCCTACCAGAAGATCAGGGGTGCGGCAGAAAGACAGCTGTAAGAAGGCGTCAAGGAGTAGCAGTAGAAAAGCTGCAGAAAGAGTCAGGAGGGGGCAAAGGGTGTGAGGGGGTGGGGGCAGAAAGAGGAGACGAAAGCAGACGACAGAATATTGCTTAGAGAGCAGGAAAGGAGGTGAAAGGAGACAATTTTAGAGAAGAAAATTTTTCGGGCGCTACCCAGATTCGAGGATTCGAACCCGGGACCTTTGAATGAGAGGCCAACACCTTAACCTTTAGGCCACGAGAGCCCACTAAATTAGCGAAACAATTAAGATAGGTTCCAAAAAATAAATTTAAAAGCTGCGCCCAGAAAGTTAAAAACAAAGTTAAAACATCAACAAACAGTATCTTGCAATGAGTAATACAAGGTTAAAAAAATGAAGCAGCAATGAGACCAAACGAATAAAAATCAGTTTTTATTATCATCGGTACTGTTATCTATAATTATTATTACACGCATCGTAATCATCATCGTTGTCTTGTTGTTGTTCTGGGTACAAAACTACGCCAGTTCGAGATTATTTGTAGGGGGGGGGGGGCGGCTTACTACACACTCGCTGGGGGCGCAAAAACAGTAATGATGTTTGTTTGGTCTTTGAACTCATGTGCATGCAACAATACACATACAATGCATTCACGATAGACCATCCATCCCCAAAGACGCCTGAGTACCTCCGTTCCCTTGCTTCGTCCTCATTTCGGATCTAAGAACGGATACACGAACTCGCGCGTCTAGTTTACAAATCACAAGTGTAACGAGTAACGAGAGTAGGGCAAGAGGCTGAACCTTCCACCGCGAGCGGGGAATCCCCTCAACTTTATCGGCACGAATGACCGACAGACCAATAGTGCGCAACACAAACCCAAATAATACACATGTCAACCTTCTGACGCAGTAGTAGGTCACATCGAGACGCTATCATCATGCAGTTTTGGGTTGGGTTGGGTTGTTTTATGCTGTTTGTGTGTGTTGTTGTTGTTGTCGTTGTTGTTGTTGTTGTTGTTGTTGTTGTTGTTGTTGTTTTGTGTTGTTGTTTTTTGAAAATTTGTTTGGTTTTTTTTAAGGAGAAAGAGAAAGGTCACCCGCTCCCCATTTTAAAAAAATGCATTTCATCCATTGTGGCACTCTCCACAGTCCTCAGCAGTGTCCTGTCAGTAGCTGTACATTGTTATTGTTTGGGTATGTTTTGCTATTGTTTGGGTTTTGTTTTTGTCTTGTGGTGGTACTTTGCTGTTTTGTGTTTTTTGGTTTTTATTTGTTGTTTTGTTTTGTTTTTTGTTGGTGTTTGCAGGTTTTGTTTTGGGGGTCCGCGCTGGATCGCACGTTAGTTTTTTAATGTTTGTTTTTGCTTTGATGTCCAAGGAACGGAAGTACTCTCTAAACTTTCAGTCCTGCCTTTCTCACAGCTGTAACTACTTCCTAGACCAATTCATTTCCCACACGTGCAAGATAACTAAGGTTTTGATAACATAACATTAACAGACTAGGACCTCGACGTTTCGTTTAGAAAACTAAGTCACTTCCCCAGAAAGTAAAGCAGGAATGAAGAAAGATTCTACAGAGAAGACCCCAATAAATATAGTACGAGAGGTAAAACTGCGGAATTTAGTTTAGTTTTAGTAGAGGTTTTCGGTACTCGGAACCGCATAAGGTCATATGAGCGCCAGAAGATTAGAAGTAGAAGTGTTACAAGAGAGTAACAAACATAAAAAAGAAGAAGGGGAGATAAGGACGATAGACGTTTGATAGGAAAGAAGAAGCAAACTACACCACAGCACCCGTCAACCACCCACTTGCGGAATTTGAATCAGAATGTAAGTGTAATACATTAATATGCATATATATACGTGGGTGTGCAAGCATATATATTATGTTCTATGGAATACAATCTTTGCCATGATTTCTTCCTCACTTGCGTCACAAATGCGTCAATTAAGTGTCGGAGATTTAAGGTGTTATGAGAGAGTAACATATAAAGGAAAAAATGGGAAGAGCTAAAGACGATACATCTTTGAAAGGAAAGGAAGAGCAAATCACAGCAGAAGACCCGTCACCCCCCCAAACCGCA